CCCCCCCCCCCAACCTGCTGCCGTCCAGTTCTGAAACTCTGGCTACAACGAAAGGCTAAAAAAAACCCGCACTAACAAAAACCCATAAACTAAAGTAAAAAGATGGTTTAACAAATAATGGACGGAAAGGAAGGAAAGTAATCTATAGGTAGATATATCTAGTTCAGAATTAGCCCAAATCTTAGCCGAAAGTTTAAGAGAGATTAGAAATCAATGCGGTGCAAGGAGTCTCATCTGCCAACCCCCAAAAAGGGCAGAGTTTCATGAAGGCGCAACCCGAACGACATCAATGCTGGTGTTTTGGGGAACAGTTGAGCTGGCGATCAACATTACCGCTAGGTGCCCGAACTGACAAGTTTGATCTCAGGCCTTCTAAAAAAAAGAAGGCGCTTCTTTCAAAAAGCCTAAATTGAACATACTACGTTATCTCCTCCTCTTGTATATCGTTTTTGTCCTCAGCTCTAATCTTCTAACTTTCACCCCCTCACCCCCCAAAAATCAAAACAAAATGTAAAACAAACTTGCAAAAAATAATAATAATAAAATAAGAATAACAATAATTAGTCCCTCTTCTATAATACAACTAAATCCAAGTACATAAATAAACCTACAAAAATCTACAAATAAATAAATAAAAGAAACTAAGTTATTACTGTATGAACCGATAAAGAATCTAAATCAATTTGTCACACTGTGATAGTTATTTGTCCCCAAACCTACGTAGTTCGCAGGTGAAGTTCAGTCACACCAAACGTCTAAAAGCAGCAACCAGCTAAACGAGGTCAACCTTAAACGTCATACTGCTCTCTGACGCGATCATAGTACCCCCATGGCTTTCCAGAACTTATAAATAAACACACACACACACACACGCACGCACACACACACACACACAAACGCACACGCACACAAACACAAAAACCGTACACATTTTCTTTTCCCTATGCAACAAACCATGTCTCTTTCTCTCTCTCTCTCTCTCTCTCTCTCTCTCTCTCTCTCTCTCTCTCTCTCTCTCTGTCCACCTCTCGTTCTCGTTCTCTTTATTTCTCTAGATCGTTCTCTGTTTCTCCTACCCCCTCCAACCACCGTTTCTCTCTCTCTCTCTCTCTCTCTCTCTCTCTCTCTCTCTCTCTCGCATGAAATTATTTACGGAGTATGCCCCAGGCAACATGGCGATCATTCCATCTCTAGTTCCGGAGACTCGGCGTGACTCTACCATGAACCCAGCCACAGAAAAACGTGACGGTACAATTGAAGCATATCAACACTTCAAGATTATGCACCATTACTAATGATCTTTTCAAACTTATTCCCGCTCATTCCTTTTTGTCTTCCGACTTAACTAAACCGAACTGTATCAGAGATGTGCTTCCATACTTGAAACGAAATTGCACCCATTCTCTAGTAAAGAGCAAGAGAAGACAATAATAAATAAGATTATACTAATATTACTCATGACAACAAAATGTGAATATCACTGAAATCCATAG